TTCTGCAGATGTAGGTAGGCTGAACAAACTACTTCTTGAGATGCTACGTGTCAAAGATATTGGGTAGTTAAATATAGAGCATAGGTATACTATGACTTCAAGTGTTCTGTCTATGTTGGCTGTGAATTGTAGCCCTCCTTCCCCATGCATCGCACATCGCAGTACGCACCCAAAGTACCATCGATGAGCAGTTGGGTTCTATTTTTAGCACGTGGAGTGATGGGTCATGGCATGCATGATAGGGTTTTGGTACACGGGTAACCACGTGGCTATATAATCTCAGCACTCACATCCATGGGGTGCACCCTGTACAAGCACACACGTGTCACACAGTCCGGTTGATCTTTGCTTTGAGTGTTCTATTCTATCCTATCTCATCACAAGCACTCGATTCTCTGCACAGGTAGTGGATAATGCTTACTATATGTTATCTGTCCACAACCACTCGATCTTTTGTACAGTCATTGGCCATTGAGCGCCTGTTGTCTCATTACAGCCACTCGATTCTCTGCACAGGTATGGGAGGCACGCACTTCTTGCCGCTGATTACGAACACTCAAGTGGCTGCCAGAATGTTCGCAGTTGGTGATCTGGTCACGTAAGTCAAGGCGTTGCTAAACGCGTTCCGATTGTTCCTGGTCGTATACTATCAGTGCTATTGGCGGATGGATACCGGTGCTAAACGCGTTCCGATTGTTCCTGGTCGTATACTATCAGTGCTACTGGCGGATGGATACGGCACTAGTTGGTCATACACGTTGTACGTATATGTGTTGTGGATGTAGTGGACGTGTTGTAGTATTGGGTGGAGTACAGTTAGTTCATTCTTCCACTGAGGGCCTGATAGCATACAGTCGTTTGTTGGGTCCAAAACCAAATTCGCTGATAATGGACTCGATTTGTCCTATATAGCGCACCTAAAGCCAAGGAATTGGGACTGCTTCTGGATGTCTACCCTAAAGAAGACTTGATGCCCAAGGCACTGGAGCTCGCGAGGAAGATGGCGGAGGGCTCTCCGTCATCCTGCAGAGCTTTAATCCAGACACTCAGACACAAGCAAGACATGGCAAACGGTATGTGCTGTATATACCAGGGATAAGTTGTATACTTGGATGATGTATCTGTTTAAACCCTCGGGCATACGCAAGACATGGCAAACTGAAGTATATAGTTTATAATTATGTGCTTTAATTCTAATGAAGTATACATATTGCTTTAGTTATAAGAAGTAGTGCATAATGAAGTATATAGTTTATAACTGTGTGCATTAATTCTAATAAAGTATACATATTGCTTTAGTTATAAGGAGCAGTGCACAATGAAGTATATAGTTTATAACTATGTGCTTTAATTTTAATGAAGTATACATATTGCTTTAGAGCAGTGCACAATGAAGTATATAGTTTATAGCTATGTGCTTTCATTCTATTGAAGTATACATATTGGTTTAGTTATAAGAAGCAGTGCATAATGAAGTCTATAGTTTATAACTATGTGCTTTCATTCTAATGAAGTATACTTATTGGTTTAGTTATAAGAAGCAGTGCATAATGAAGTATATAGTTTAAAACCATGTGCTTTCATTCTCATGAAGTATACATATTGGTTTAGTTATAAGAAGCAGTGCATAATGAAGTCTATAGTTTATAGCTATGTGCTTTCATTCTCATGAAGTATACATATTGCTTTAGTTATAGCCGAGACCACGCACTGCGCCACAAACTGGACAAAGCGGACGGTGTACTGATCAGTACAATCCTTTACAGACATGGTCATATGAGCATTGCTTAGTGTACAGATATTCATCGATGTCAACATGTGCAGCGGGACTCATCAGTAGCTTTATACATATTGCTTCATAGAATGAGCAGCTTTCTACGTATTGCTTCATGGAATGGTTGTGTGCTTGGCCACATGCCGTGTCCGAGAAATATACAAGTTTACCTACCACCCACCTTTTCGATTCCTTGCCATTCAAATACACACACGTGTCTTACTTGCAACGCACGATGCACCCACTAATGTAGTACTACTACTTACTATAATTCTAATACTACTACTTACTATAATGCTAATACCACTTCTTACTATATTGCTAATACAACTACTTGCTATAACGCTAATACCACTACTTACTATAATGCTACTACCACTACTACCACTGCCTACACCTGCATGCTCGTCTGTCTCAGGAGGTCTGTCTGCTGCTTTGGATTGGGAGGCCGAGTGTCAGGGCCGCAGTTACGCACAAGGCGATGTGCTCGAGGGCGTAGCCTCCATACGCGAGAAACGCGCGCCCAAGTTCTAAGCAATAAAAGCCCAAGCCCACAGCTCAAACCAACCCCTGCCTGATTACGCATAAGTGTAAACCAACCTCTGCCTGATTACGCACAAGTGTAAACCAGCCTCATAAGTATAAACCAACCTCTCAACGCCTGCCTGATTACGCACAAGTGTAAACCAACCTCTCAACCCCTGCCTGATTATGCGCAAGTTTAAACCTACCTCTCAACCCCTGCCTAATAACACACAAGTGTAAACCAACCTCTCAACCCCTGCCTGATTACGCATAAGTGTACACCAACCTCTCAACCCCTGCTTGATTACGCTTTGTGTATAGAATCCTGTCTAGAGAGATACTACTGGACGGGATACCCAAGTGTGTTAACCGCTTTCACACGTCTTGTGGTGTATGTACGCTCTACTTTCGTACACAACCACAGGCACAGGTCGTAGAGCTGTCGCATTATCTTGTCTAGACTTTTAATCCAATTAGCTCACACAATCAGGTGTTACTACTATCGAGTAGCTATGGCTGAGTGTCATACCCAGGGCGTGCAGAACAACATGCGCAGCAGATCTCAATTGGCGCATTTCTCTTCTAAATCTTATCTCAATTAAAAATATTAACATTTGTGTAAGGCTCCCGCTGGTGAGACTTACAGCATCCGGTTGCATACCCTCCACGAACCATGGGACCGATAACAGTCAATTCGTGTGATATATTGAAATGTTGAACACTTACTACAGACTCCTCGAAACACACCCATTCCCGTGATCCGAATGCACATATACTGTGCTATCACGACTAATGTCACAACCGGTATAGATAAGCACTACCATATTGTCACCCGTATAGAATAGAAACTTAGCGGATGGCTTCATTTAAATGCTGCATACATATTGCACCGAGATAAAAACAGGATATATCAGATGCTGAATGAAGAAAAATGCCACAGAAAGTATATATAAACGCTTTATAGATTAATTCAGTCCTACCTAAGCTGTAGCACCGTATCGGTATTGGCGTGCACTAGCATCTTGTGCGTTTGATTTGAAAATTACCTTCCACCGACGAGCATTCTCATGTACCAGCCCGTGTGTACAGAATACACACCTATACAACTGATTATAGAGGTATAAATACACTTTCAGCCTAGGTGCTTTATGGTATAGTTACACCTCCAGTCGATGTGCTTGTACACCCAGAGTCCCAGACACATGTGGAACTCAGCCATATACCCTTTCCTGGCGATACCGCATCCGTAAAACAGCCCGTTCACGACTCAATCCGATTGCCAGTACCATACCTTCGATGCACAACAATATTAGATATCTCATCATGTATAACTAGCTTTCTAATTAACTCTGTCTACAGTCTACTCCGGGTTGACCACCGTGACCGTGCCCGTGATCATCCTCGTCTTCAAAGCCATTTTGACGTCCCTGTTCGGGATGGAAGTCCTCTAAGAAGACCTCTTCCACATGGCTATCGTCACCCATACCTGCATCAGCCACCGACACCTTCGTGCGTGGTCCCAGAGCCTTCTCAATCAAGCTAATCTGTTCGGCTGTCACACTCTCCGGGAATACAACGCCGAATTGGATGATCAGACGACCCTTGAGTTCGGGATGTCTCTGGTCCGGGAAACCCTCGTTAGGCACACACTTCACCGCACCATCCTTGATAACTTCTCCAGGAAGCGTGGTTACAAGCAACTCTCTGTTGTCCAGGTGTGGCACCAGACGTTGGAACCCACACAGAGCCTCAACCAATTTAACCTCCATCTTCATAATCAGATCCAAACCTTCACGCTGGAAGACGGAGTGCTCCTTTTCACGTACAACAATCACAATATCACCCGCTTCCATACCGGGCTTCTGGTCACCTTCACCACTGAACGTGATCTTCTGACCGTCACGTGTACCGGCGTTTATATTGACCACCTTCACGAACTTCTCTTGAGTAATCTTCTTACCCCTGCATCCATCGCATCTAGCACCCGGGGGAATGATCTCACCCTGGCCCTCGCACTTGGTGCAGTTAACAACCACCTGTTGCATCATACCGGGACCTACTTGTCTCAGCTGCACCTTACGACCCTGTCCACGGCAGTCCGAGCACTGTGTAACACCCTCACCACCCGTGCCATCGCAGTCCTTACACAACAGATCACGTCTAATCAACAGCTTCTTCGTATGTCCTGTGTACAACTGCTCCATTGTGAACCCGAGCTCACTGACAGTAGGCTCGGCCTGCCTGGGGCCCTGTCTACTCCCTCCACCCATACCTCCCATACCCCCGCCGAAGAAGCGCGAGAAAATATCGTCGGCTGAGAAGCCGCCACCGCCACCTCCTTCCTTTAAGCCCTGCTCACCTGCTCGATCGTAAAGTGCACGCTTTTCACTGTCTTCAAGCACAGAGTATTGGTAGGAAAGCTCCTTGAACTTAGCTGCAGCTTCGTCGTCACCAGGGTTTTTGTCGGGGTGGAACTTGAGGGCCATTTTGCGGTACGCCTTCTTAAGTTCTGAGGCGGACGCATTGGGCGAGACTCCGAAGGAGTCGTAAAACGCAGTTTCTTTAACCATCGTGTTGTGTGTGATGTACTAAATATATTAAGTCTACGCAAGAACTGTAAGTGTGTATATATATATGAATGCGAATGTACGTTGCGTGTATATGGATATATAGACTTGCATGACACGCACGGATATACGTTAATTAGAAGAGTATAGCGCTTCAATACTTTGTCTTGAAGTGGTGTTTTTTTTTGATGGTATGTACCAAGTCCGTCTTTTCGTTATGTTTGACGCGTCAAACTTTGCTCTTTGAGTGTTCTGCCAAAAGTGCTACGCAGCCGTGAAAAAAATAGTCATGTCGTTAATAGAACGTTTTGTTTATAATGTATCGTAATGTTCATAGTAGAAAACGACATCAGAAATAAATACATTCAAAATCCGTGCTAAACTAGGTTCGAATGATTGGCACGTGCAAAATCTCATGTGTAAGTACCGAACGTTTGTATATTTTTTCTTGACAACCAAAATTCGGGAAACATCTGTTCCTTTTCCCGTGGGTTTCTTGAAACAAATCTTGATTGCATTGATAAGGGCCATATAGGCCCGTATTCTCTAATTTGTTTTTAAAAAAAA